AGCTAATTATCATTATACATGGTATCATAAGATGCATCCACTGAAACTTAGAATGTATTTGACTACATAGCTGACTGGAGTGAGCCCCACATAGACAAAATGTGAGCTAAGCTATATTCCATTTTGTGTGGAATTAATTTTCTTTGCAGGCTCAAATCAACTAAAATTAATTCCATTAAATTTAATCAAGAGTAGACTATGTACAATGCACTCTAGACTTTATAGTAACATCAAAAATGGCAAAATTGTAAATGTGACCATAATTGACAAAAGGCACCTATTCATCATTATCATGAAAAATATCAACCTGTGAGTGCTCTATTAGTCAACAATTGTTTCTAAAAGTTACATAGTAGCTTTTTGCATCCTCTGAGTAATTTTATGATAAATGGAGCTCAGGAAGTTGGATTTTTTAGGCTATAAAGACCAATTTTCCTATCCACCATAAGGTACCTTTTGTCAATTATGGTCACAAATGATAAAAATCAATTCCTATAAAAATTTAGACAATGAAAATTAGAGGTCATGAAATAACCTACATGTAGCTATATTAGTAATGCAGTAGCGTTACTAAGTAGGATTCACCCCAAACAAAATGGCTGCCACAACTTTTGCAGCCTTGCTATACTGGGAAAACGAGCTCCTATGCTTACCAGACTTTTTAGAGGACCTCATCTTGACCAGAGGACTCCATTGGTACCACTAGTGTGGCTCTAGACCTTGTCTAAGAGGAAAGTCAAAAATCGGCGAACCGGCCGTTTTGTTCAGCCACCTTTTTTCATCTTCATCATCATCATCATCATCATCAAGAAAGTCCTGGCAATTCAGTTGGCGAGCTGTATCTCAATCTTGACTCATGCTAGAAGTATAATTCTTACACCACTCTACTCCAACAGTCTATGCGCGGATCCATGTCCCCTAAAATCATTCTCCAAGATGAGAAAAAGTGACGTTATGACTGCTGTATCAGGCCAACTTACCTCCCGTCGCCATTTTGTTAATTAAAAAAGCATGTGCTCCAAAATTTGGGCGTGGTCGCGCATGCTCAGAACTCAGAACTGGGAAAAGCAATCACTGTCCTAGCTATGCTTGGAATCAATTGCATTACTTAGTGAAGGTTTCCAGCTAAAAGAAGGTATTAATCT